GGGTGCTGGCGTTTCTATCAGATTTTTTCTGATTTCCTTTTTCATGACGTAATTACCGCGACCGTGATATCCTAAATACTCTCTGCTAGCCTACCTTCGCGCCCTAACATAAGGTTTACGGACCTTTTTTGTGTTTACATTTTCGTTTATTTGCTATCTTTTTCATGACCTAATCAATCAATTCTTTCGGGCGTTCAGCGGGCCATGTCCTCATTGTTTATATTCCATTCCATTCGACTCCCACTGACGCCCCCACCCACCCGGCTGGCATTTTGATTCTGCTGCTTCCCATCGGGGCTTGACGATTTTAGGATGCTGACGTAGTTTGGCAGTTTTAATTGGTTTTTAAGTCTATCCCCATCCAGTTTCCCCCAAGCTACAAATCACGCCCAACTCCGAGGGCCAAAAAACCCATTTCCCCCAAGGGTTACGACTTTACAAAAGACGGCTGCGGCTGCCTGGGTGGTCAACGGATTTTTCGACAACTGGGTACTTTCCTGAAGAATCTCTGCTAGTCTGCTATTTCCTAAATGACTCTTGCTAGCTGCCTGTTTTCTAATCGAAGGCCATGTCTGGTAAGGCAACAATGTCCTATAGAGATGAGTCAGAGTAGAGAGCGAGAGATAGAGAGAGAGAGAGAGAGAGAGAGAGAGAGAGAGAGAGAGAGAGAGAGAGAGAGCAAGAACGAGAGCGAGAGAGAGCATGGACTCCGTGGAGAATTAGAGAAAGCGATTCGGTACCATTCTTGGCATGTCAAGAGGTATGCGGGCGGAACTCGTCGATTGCGCCAATTACCGTCCATTCGGGCTGCATATTGTTTTCGGTCCCATAGGGGGTGGTGGCTCACCTTGGTTCGGCATATTTCGCTTCCTAAACAAGCTCTACTAGCCTGCCCGTTTCCTAAAGAATCTCTGCTAGCCTGCCCTTTCCTAAAGAATCTCTGCTAGCCTGCCCTTTCCTAAAGAACTCTGCAGCCTGCCCGTTCCAAAGAATCTCTGCTAGCCTGCCCTTCCTAAAGAATCTCTAGCCTGCCCTTTCCTAAAGAATCCTGCTAGCCTGCCCTTCCTAAAGAATCTAGCCTGCCCTTTCCTAAAGAATCTCTGCTAGCCTGCCCTTTCCTAAAGAATCTCTGCTAGCCTGCCCCTCCCAGAACGCAAATTACAGTCGGCGTCCAGTTCAAGTTTCCCTCTCCCGATTCCAGATTTCCATTTCGCTCCTCTGGACTGGCCAGCATGCAAGCGAGGGGGAAATAGCCTGGGGGCACTATTTGCTTTCGCTCTCTCTCTCTCTCTCTCTCTCTCTCTCTCTCTCTCTTCCATTCTACTCCAGTTTTGCTTGTGGTTAGAGGAGAGATCGGCCGGATGTGCCCGGAGGGCATCATCCAAAACGCTTTGGGCCTTGACCCCAATCTCCCTTTACCGCCATATGCATAGTTTCTCAAGCGAGAACGGGGGGAGGGCGGCTGTCAGATAAGGCTCGAGAACACTTCAATGGCCCTTCAAAAGGGGGAGGGATGTCTAGAGGATTGTTGCGTAGCGGAAGGGGGTGGCAGGAACAGTGCTTTTAAGTGCTCTTCATTCAGTCACTCTCGATTTTCGCCTGGAGCCCTAGAGATGATGCTTGTTCTAGCATTTTTGTCCGATTTTGAGCTATTCCTCGAACAATCTCTGCTAGCCTGCCCTTTCCTAAAGAATCTCTGCTAGCCTGCCCCTTCCTAAAGAATCTCTGCTAGCCTAAATCCCTCCTCTAGCATTCTCAGCATTTCCAGCTCCCGACCCTTTAAAAGCAGGGGAAAGTTGGAGCAACGTTCTCAGGTGCATTAACGGCATTAGCCGGGGGTAGTGGCAGAAATTGCCGGCGGCTACGCGCCGGATTATTAGTCAGATAGAGAGGAGAGAGAGGGAGAAGGGGAGAGAGGAGGAGAGAGGAGAGAGAGAATACCTGGCGTTCCTTAGCCCTGAGCAAGAGCTCCTAGCCGCCCCCGAAACTGCCCTTTCGACGCGGGCCAGCCCTCCAGATTAGCGGCTATTCGGAGAGGCTAAAAAAGTTACGGTAGCCCTATTACAGTCTCACGCAGCGCTGCAAGCTGCTTTTTTCCTAAAGAATGTTTGCTAGTCTGCCTGGGTTTTTTCGATGCCACCAGACATCCCCCGCAAGACGTTGGGGGCTAAATATAAACTAAAAAGTCTGGGCTGGGTCACGGGATTTCAGGGGGTCTTCCCCCAAAGCTAAATATATGAGAATCCCGTGACCGATCGGGAGAATTGGGATGGCATTTCTAGGTGTTTTTTCTTGATCTCTCTTTCATTCTCTCTCTCTCTCTCTCTCTCTCTCTCTCGCTCGCCTCGCCCTCTTTGTTTTTATCGCCTCCTCGATCTGACTTGAAACTTTTTGATCGCTTTGAGCCGGGGAGCAGCAGTCGTTAGAACTCACGGCAACTCTTGGCTAATTGCAGAGTTCACCCGTTTTATTACCTGTGCTTTGGAGCGAGAAGTTTCCTAAAAAATCTCTGCTAGCATGCCTTCTTGATTTTTCCAAAAAGTCACAGTTTTCTTAGCATTTTTTACGGACTTTGGCCTCTAAAAATGGCAAAATGGTACTAAAATAGCCTATATTGCATATTATTCTCATATTCATGAATAACACCCCTCGCTAAGGAACCAGTACCGGACAAGGCAGGCAGATTCTTTAGGAGAGAGCCGGTTAGCAGCGACTTTTAGGAAAGGGCAGGCTAACAGAGATTCTTTAGGAAAGGGCAGGCTAGCAGAGATTCCTTAGGAAAGGGCAGGCTAGCAGAGATTCTTTAGGAAAGGGCAGGCTAGCAGAGATTCTTCAGGAAAGGTTGTTCCGTTCCCTTCAAAAGAACAATCACCGCGTCCGATCTGCCAACACAAAAGACTGCTGAACCCTCCTCCTCCCCATTGGCATTCTCTGCCGAGGTTCAGCCGGATTGATCGGACCGAAATTCCGGGGAGATCCAGATCTCATCCTCCTCCTCCTCCTCCCCCCACCCCACCCTAAATTGGCTAACCACTTTTCCACGGCAATACACTGTACACCGCCCCAAGTTTACCCATTTTTGGGCGGCCAATTGACACAGATTCCAGAAATTCCACCCTCCCGCTTGGTGGCTAGCATCAGCTGTGTTTTTGGGTTTTTATGCCCGCCGCCCCCTCGGGATTTTATGGCCGCAAAACTGCAGGTCAGCGTGTCAGTAGAAAAGCCGCGGAATTGCGGTCCAAATTTCGGGATTCCTAGGGGGTTTCTCCTGGTTAGCTCTTGTTTTTCACAAAAATTTGGCCAGTTGGCTCTGTCAATTCGCCAATTATCTTTGCTAGCATGCCCTCAAATTTCCTCAAAAATGTTTGTTAGCATGCCTTTGATGTCTTAGCGATCTCTGCTAGTCTTCCTCTAATTTCCTAAACGATCTTTGCTAGCCTCCCGTTTCCCAAATAAACTCTGCTAGCGCGCCTTTGGACGTTCTCAAGGACATCTGCTAGTCTTCCTCCAATTTCCTTAAGAACTCTTGCTCGTTTCCCCTCCGATTTCCGCAAGCATCCATGCTAGTTACTTACGATTTCCTCAATAATCTTTGCTGACCTGCCCTTCAGTTCCCAAATGATCCCTGCAAGCTTACTCTCTAGTTTCCTCAAGGAAACGGCTTGTCCTCAATGATCTCTGCTAGTCTTGCTCCAATTTCCTCAAGCGAGCCTTTCCTCAGCTTCCTTCGAATTTCTGCTAGCCTACCCCTTTCCTAAAAAATCTCTGCTAGCCCGCCCTTCCTAAACAATCTCTGTTAGCCTGCCCTTTTCCCCAATTATCTCTGCAAGTCCGTTTCCAATTTTCCTAAAAACTCACTTTAATTGCCCTGTCCCTTTAAACCGTTTCCGACAAATTGAGCCGTTCCGCAGCCACGTCAATAGGCGCGCAGCGGAGCGCCGGCTTGAACTCGAGAACGGAAGAGTTCCCTGAAAAAGTGTCCTTTGTCTTACTTACCGCCCCTGGGCAGCAACATTATTGGAGGCTCAATTTCTCCCCACTAAATTTCACTGGCTACTCGGGGGACTGTCAATTGTACACTCGTGTACACAGGTGCAGAAAGTGACACTGGGTGACGGACAGACAGACGGACAGAGACGGACAGACAGAGACGAACAATTTCCCCGGGGGCAATTTCCCAGCCAGCCCGAGCCTGACCACCGTGTGTCTTGTTTGCTTATGAAAATGGAACGGGGCTGGCCTGGGAACGGGGGAATACAGGGCGAAACCCTGGACGGTACAACACTGTAGCCTTGGGGAGGTGTTTCAAGGGACTGTACCGGCGTTTAATTTTTTAGTTTAGTTTTAATGTTATTTTATGCGGCCCTTTCCCATTATCCGGGGGGGCCTTTATACTATCCAAACTATCTAAACACGTTATAAGATTTTAAAACTTAAAATTTTGGTCTAAATCGCTATTTTTTGGTGTTTTTGTGTCAGTTTGTAGATAAACTTTTTACGTTTAGGAATAGGAGCCCTGCTTCTTTTGGGATTAGAAAAAGATTCTTTCAAAACCCTTTTTCAAAGTTTTAATTTAATTTTGAAAAATTCGCAGAACCTAGTCACTAAAAACCGAGTTATAATTCCTTATGACCTTCACTATTTCCGGGTTCCGCTACCAAGAGCCTTTTCGAGCAGGATAAGGCAAACATCAGACGGCTTCTAATTACGTAACAGGCTCGGGAACGCCCATTCCTGTAAGAAAGTGAAATTTACTAATGCTTCTTCTCCTCCCCTCAACTAATCGCGTTATGGCGTCAATTCTGTTAGGGCATTCGCGTCGTCTGGCAATGCCATCGGCGGGACATTCCAGACCCTGTAACAGTTCATAAGCTCAAAAGGCGCGTCTCGAGATAGTTTTTAGTTATCTCATTTTTGCCAGTTCGTCAAACACCTTACTTTCGCATACCAAACCTCTGCGCTTTTCGCATTGATGATGCTGCAGTTCGGCCACCACCGCCCACCCCGGAATGTAATGGACAAATTGGCCGGTGGGACACCGAGATGGATTGACTGACTCATCGCTCACCTCAAGTCGCCCTTCTTCCTCGCGAGCGAACGTGCCCTGGGCAGGTGGCCCTCCAATCAAGGGTCCGGGTCTCTTTCCTTTCTTCCAGTTCTCAAATCACATGCGAATTGGCCGTTCGCTAAATTTTCGCGGGTTTTAGGTTTATTTTTAAGATTTATTGAAGGTTTCGTGAGTTTTTTGGGCTTAAAATTCCGAAGGCTTCCAGTTGCCACCAAAATTTTGTGGGTGCGCCACTGTCGTTTCCGTTAGGCGCGATTTTGACTTTTATTTTTATTTTCAAGGTTTTTTATAAGTTTTCATTTACTTTTTAAATTGATTTTTGTAGATTTCTAAATTCATTTTATCTTTTCGACGTTTTTGGCAACATCCGGTTCACACGGATAGAAAGAATGACGGTTTTTCTCTGCCTTCTACGTATTTTCGAACCCACGAACTCGAAAAGCCTTATCCCGACTTCCCCAAGCTCCCCATACGATTCTTGCTCAACTCATCGTCTAACCTCTAAAGGGCTAGGGAACGAAATGCGCCAAGGGCAAACATATACAAGCGCGTGTGAACGGGGCGCGGGCGCGAGGGCTTTTGTGTCTTCTCTGCCCGCCGGTTTGTCAAGGGTCGCCGCGGGAATTGGTGTACTTTTGCCCTGGGGCGGCCGCGCGGGAAAACGACGTGTCCACATTCCTTAAACAAACTTTGATCCTCTGGGTTGGGCTTTCGGTGATATAGATTCTACACTTTATACGATTGCTGGGTATTCGGGACGAAGACGGCGTTTGAGCAACTTCATTAAACAGTAAAATGTTGTTGCTCGTCTCGTACGCTCCTTTCAGCAAATCCTTTCCCGTCTCTCATTGTCTACCTCGATCATCAAACCAATCGTTTGACCCGCAAATTATCGAATATATCTCCTGCAATGCGATCCCCCCATTCAATCGCCGCATCCCCCCTCGCTAATTCTTTGGCGACACACGTGTGGTGCCATAAAAACTCGTCCTCCTCCTCCCCCAAGCGCCCATCTGCCCCCTTTTTGTGGCCACTTTTTGGGCCACCCGCCGAACACTCGGGCCCAGATGTTGCCAGCGTAAGGGGTTGTACAAGTTTCTGGAAATAAAGGGGTACCACAGCCTCTTCTTTTGTCAGCTTTGGGCTTTTTGGAAGACAGAACAGCTTATTTTTGCGATTCTAGGGCACTTCTGGCACGTTCTTTACCGCGCGGCGATCTTTGTGATTTTCTCAAACTTTTTAAACCAGCCTGGACAGATTTTCGGCTTTTCTTTTTCAATGAAAAATTTAATTTAGACTAGAAAGCAACCCCTTCTGTTATGGTTTTTTAGAGATTCTTTCGACGTCTGATTGTTCTCTTTGCTTTTTTTTCTGTCTAAACCATCGATTTTATAGGCTCCTAATTCACACCAGCCGTGAAATTTGCCAAAATATCCATTTTTTTTTTCTATTTTTCTGAATCCATTTCTCTACAGGCTGGCCATTTTTAAAAATTTTGCAACCATCACGACGAAATTCTTCGGCTCTACGCGTTTTTATGTCTTAACCATCGATTTTTATAGGCTACACCATCACACCGGTTCCGTCAATTTCGCCAAAAAACTTGCGAGATCTCACCCAATCCACCCCGACCATCATTCCACCTGATTAGCCCGTGCAGGCCTCAGCCAGCCAGCCAACCACAGTTCTCCTCCGCGTTTCCCCGGCACGCCGGATTGGATGACGGCCAATTTTGAGGTGGCGCGCGCGATGGCACGCCGTTGTCTCGGAAAAATCCGGCATTCCGTCTTGCGTCGAATGGAAACGAGTTTTTGCGGGGCCTGAGCGACGCTCAGCATGAGACTGACCCCCGGGATTTTGTGAAAGGGGAGCCCGGGCGTTTGTTTTTCACACTTCCTCATTTCACCTCGGCTCGATTTCTTCTTCTTTTCCGTGCCGCTTTTGGCAGGCAGGCGGCGCGCAGGTAGTGGTGGTATCCCTTATGACCGAGTCACGGGGGAACAGCAAATCGGGGGATAGTTGTTTTTACTGCTGATTTAGTAGTTCTTGGAAGGGATCCCGATGTGATATGGGTGATTGTCTCTGACAATTCGGTTGATTCGCTATTTTTAATTTTCGGGAATTGGCATTCGAGTGTACTGGACTGTTAGCGGGGGGGCATAACTTTATCCTGACGCTTGGTACGGTCGCAATAATGAAATTTACACCGTTTATGCAGCTTTTTAGGCCGTTTTTAAGTATGGCAAGCTCATAAAAATTATGAGATTTTCAAAATGTCGATTTTTTTTGTGCTAAAATATCTAAAATTGGTCATGTGACGTTATATGCTGTTTTAAAGCCTAGAAAGCGCTTACCAAAATTGTTAAAATTTCGAAAAATATAGATTTTTTCTGGAAATTTACGAAGATGGTCAAAAATTTCGCATTTTTACATTTTTCATGACTTTTTGGTTTCAAAAACTACGAGAAACGCTTCCCAACGCTGCCCCCCGCAACACTCCAGTACCTATTCTAGAGCTAGGACCGATCAGTACTCGCCCTTCCCTTGCTCTCAATGTATAGCCCCTAGGTTTTACTTTCCGCCCCTCAAGGCCGAACCCCAATTCGAACGGAAAGGCGTTAGCCTATAACGTACATCGCCGCGCCCAAGTGCTAATAGGTGGTGTCATCCCCGGGGGGACGATCCATATTTAGTGGGCGAACCGCCCGCCTCCAGGCTGCTCTCCTGAGATGTCCTTGCCCCCGGATTCCAAGCCCCGCAGAGACAATCGCGTAAAAAAACGACTAGCGCACTTCGCGCGCCGCCGCGGTCAACGGCTATTGTCCCATTGCTGATCCCTACTTTTGGCTCACTTTCCAAAGTGGGGCATCTTTCGCGTTTTCACCCTTCTTTGGCGTTTTCAAGCGCTGATAGGGTTGTTTCTGTCATTTTCGATTCTTTCGCATCATTTAGCATTTTTGTAGCAGTCTAGAAATTCCTAGTGGCCTAATATGGAGTATTTCCTTCGTTTTTAGTAAAATAAAACTATTGAACTAGACAAACTAGCTAAATACTTTCAAAAAATTTTTAAAAGTCGAAATTTCGGTCAAAAAAACGGCCGCTTTTGTTCGAAAAATCTATGTTTCTTGAATTCTTCGTAAAAATTGTAACGTTTTTGCGTTGAGGAATTTAAAAATAGTTTAGAAACACTTCCGCTATTCATATGGAAAATTTGTGTGCCCCCGATAATGCTAAAGGATCCCGATTTTCAGACGATTAATTCAGGGCGCGAATCCATTTCCGCAATCGAGAATGTCGATTTTGGATTTCCAAAGCCCAGACGTCCCGATCAGTTTTGTTTTTCTACGCTAGCCGAACCATACATCCGGTTTCCGATCCCCGCAGCCGCTGACGACGATCGCTGTCTAGATGAAATTGAGCTCACTGGCCGAATCTGCTGAAGTCAAAGCCCCTGGCTGGGAGAGAGGCTACTGCCCCACTTTTGCAACAAGAAAACGAGTATCCCGACTCTAGCGAGGTCAGGTTCACACTCTCGCCCGCCGCCGGGAGGGAAGAGCACCCCCCAATATGGATCATTGCACGCCGCGGCGAACGGACATGGGAAGGGGACAGGTTTCAGTGTTCCGGGGGGCCCGTGCACACGATTTCTGGGTCAGCTTTTGCAGATTATTTGATTGGATCTTGGCTTTGGCCTGGTTCGATTGCATCTCCAGAGTTTTTGTAGGCTCTTTTCTTGTCATGAAGCTTCTGAATTTCTTTTCCAAGTCTTTTAGAAAATCTCTGACGCCTCTTTTAGAAGAATTCTCTAGGCTACCTCGTTTTTCTGCCTTGCTATTTCGCGCACCTTTTCACAATTTTCAGACGTTACCGCCCGGGCCTGTTTGCTCAGTAATTTTCTATTCTAAGCGACTTATTCGATTTTTATTGGGCTCTTCGAAATTTGCTTCTCTACAATTTTTTCTTGAATTTTGCCGGCTCTTTTTTTATTTTATTTTCAGGCGACCTATTCTGCTTTTGGCAACTGAATTTTAGATTTCGAACGATCCCGTTTGGCCATAGGCTCTCGGAAATTTTATTCTGCTTTTTTGGAGCTGGCAATGAAAAATGCACCCTAAAATCAATAACCGTTGCCGGAGGGCGGATCGAGAGAACGTTGTCTGCGACAAGATCTCTTGCATTGACAAGCCCGGGGGCAGTGGCTCGGGAGGCATCCGAGGTCGCCTTCCTCTTCTTCTTCGTCGCTTTATCAAAACATATGATCAACCGCCCCGAGCCGCCCTTGCTGCCCGTGGGCGTGGGGGGATGGTCGCAGCCCCGGGGGCGCGTTTTGTCGTCATTTACACACTTCTCTCGTTCTCTCGCTAATGCTTTCTTTTCCGGCTTTATGAATGGGTTTTAATCTTTTTGATGTAGTTTCGCGCCTCTCCTCGCCCTTTAATGTCTGATACGTTTTTTTTGCAGGAAAGAATCTTCAAGTAAAAATGCGAAAAGATGATTTTGTCAAGAATTTAGATTTTTTGGCGGATTTTTGTAAATTTTTCGATCCTTTTTGCGAATTTCCTGCCTTTTTTGAACAGACCCTTACCTTTTAGTCCCTTCGAATTTTACTCAGTATCCCTACTTTCTCTCTATTTTAATTTTGAGATGATTTTGCGAAGCGTTGCTATTTTTTTCAGAGCTTCTAGCCTTTCCTGCTTTTCAGGCACTCACTATTATCTTGATTCCCATCAATTTTTACTCTATATCCCTACTTTTCTTCATTTTCAAATGTCTTCTTTCCGTTTCCCCACCACTACTCCAACAATCCTATTGTTCCAGGCGTCCAGCCGTTGCCGAGGGGGGAAACTGGCATTCGCTCTCGCCTTTTCACACGGGTCACATTTTACTGGTAAGCCATTTGAAGTTTTGATTTTTACTCCGAATTTTTAGGTATTCACATTGCACAAGAATGGGCGCGCCGGCCACGCGGTCCCGGGTCGTCTCCAGGCCCGTGGCGTTGGCCTGTATTGGCATGATGATTGGCCTCACCACAGCGTAAGCGATTTTTGTCGTCCTTTTAATGCTATGTTTAGATGGTGCATCTCAACAGTGGCCCGGATACCACCGATTATGTGCGATCCAGTAGCTGCTGCGCGGGTTGGTTTTTCTATTTTAACAAAGCGTGCTAAAATTCTAAAATTCTAAAATTCTCTCTCTCTCTCTTTAATATCGAAACTTTAAGAAAATTTCGTTATACAGCTTTTCGACAATTTTTAAGATAATTTAAAACTGTTATTTAAACATTTTTCAGTCTCGACCCGACCAAGGCTTCATCCTAGTCGGCATCATGACGGCCGCCAAGTACGTCGACACCAGGGCGTACAACGTCTGGAAGACCTGGGCCCAGCATATCAACGGAAAGGTATAGATTCTTTCTTAATTTTCGAATGCTCTTTTTTTAGGTCCTGTTCTTCGTCGCCGAGGACACCGTCAGCATCTACCCCGAGTTGCCGCTGATCCGGTTGAAGGGCGTCGACGACACGTACCCGCCGCAAAAGAAGAGTTTTGCCATGATCCGATGGATGGCCGACAATCATGTAAAAATTTTTAATTAGACAAAGCATGTTTTCGAAAGGCCCGTTTCCGAAAGTCATGGTTTCCAAAAGTCAGATTGTCGAAAATCATAAAATTTGCTTTGCGAATTCATCTCCCTTGCCGCGTGTTCCTAGTAGCTGGGCAAAATGCTCAAAATTCTGGCTTTCGAAAAGGCGGGCTTCGAAATCTGGCTTTTGAAATCATACTTTTCGAAAAAGTTGTTTTCGGAAATGCGTATCGCAGTTGAAGAGTATTTGACGAACGATTTCCGACTGCTCACGTCACTATGAGCCGGATCTTCCCCCCTTTTGCTCATTGCTCAAAGTCAATATTTCTGCAGCACAGACTCTCCTCGAGCGCAACAATTTGTAAACAGTCCAAGTCTGCTAGACTACCCCGGACGCGCGTGAGAAATTGTAGATTCCCGGGGCTTGGCCAGTGGCGCTCCAATATGGCTGCAGGGGAAAACGTCGCGATCCCGCAGGCCAGTGACTGGTTTCGGTTGTGTAAACAAAAGCGCTAAAACGAGATCGTAGAACGGTGTTCGGATGTCGAGAGCGTGTTTTTATTTCCATTTTCAGATTGACAACTTTGACTGGTTCGTGCGCGCCGACGACGATCTGTACATCCGGGGGCCCGAGATGGACGCTTTTTTGAGGTGACTCTCTTACTACGTGATTTTTAAAACACTTTGTCTTTAGGTCCCTCGACCCATCACGGCCACACCTCGTCGGCCAGGCCGGTCTGGGCAACAGCGCGGAATATGGTCTCCTGGCGCTCGGCAACACCGACAACTACTGCATGGGCGGCCCGGGTGTCGTGATGAGCAAGCAGACGTTGCGGTAAATTTTTGGTGCATTGAGGCACCGAAACTATGTAAATGCAAATTTTGCCCACTTTCGTTAGGTCGATGTTTCGCTCGGGCATTTTCATTTCGCCAAATGCTAATTGGGCCCATAAAAGAGAAAACAAAATTCATTAGCGGAATTGTACGAATTTATTTAGCAACGATCCATTTGCCACCTTTTGGCCCCCGTTAATGTTCCAAATCCTACTATATATAAAAAAATAGTGTCTGTGTGTGTGTGTGTGTGTGTGTGTATGACACTTTGCATGCAACTTCCGTCAGCGTGTCCGGAGGATATCTCAAGAGGGGATGGGTTTAAGGAGGTGTTTGATACGTCATTAGATGCGTAATAGGTTGGAGATGGCTGCACACATATCATATTTTGTAAAATATGTTGTTTTCGACATTAAATTAAGTTTTTCGTAAAAATTCGGCCACTCACTTTGTTAGGAGAAAATTAGCATATGCCGGAAGTTGCAGTAGCCTATATAAAGGCCCAAAGGGAGCGTTTTTCATTTTTTTGTCATCGTGATTGAGGCACAATTATGCAAAATAAAGAACATCATAGGATTAGACGGGGCCAGGGTTGAAAAGTCGCGAAGCGGCTTTTCAACCCTGGTTGCTTTAAAAAAATTGTAAGGCAAAAAGTGCTGAAAGTGAAGAAACAAATAAGGGTTCGGCACAACGGACTTTATATACGACATAAATAGGAATCAAAAAAATCAACTTTTCTTGACGGATTGTTAGTATTTTTATGCTCAAAAACTTTTTTCAGGCTCCTCTCGCCGCACCTCGAGTCTTGCCTCTCCCACCTCCTCACCACCCACGAGGACGTCGAGCTGGGCAGATGCATCAAGCGACATGTGGGCGTCTCGTGTACCTGGAACTACGAAATGCAGAAGCTCTTCCACAACAACCAGAGCACCGCTACGGTAATTTCAAAAGCCCTCGATTCAACCATTTTTAGGCGTACACTGGCAGCTTGCACGAGTTGACGGCCGCCATCACCATCCACCCCATCAAGGACCCGAAGATTATGAACCGCGTCCACGCCCACCAACGCGCCCACCAGCTGCGCCAACTTCGCAGCAAGCGAATGCTGCTCGAGGCCGAGCTGATGGACGCCCGATCGCCGAGCCTGATCCGCGTGCAGCCCAACAAGACGTCCGACCTCGAGCCCTGGCAGTTCATCAACAACCAGAAGATCATCTTCTGCGCCGATCGCGTCACCTGCCCGCGGCACACCGTCGAGCTGAGCATCAGAACTGAGGCCAGCGAGATTATCAACCAGGTGTGTTTGTTTTTCCGCAACTTTGCGAAAATTGGGCAAATTTGGTTTTGCGGCGAGCGAAAAAAGCTTTTGGATATAGCGATCTATAGCTTATCCTAGCTTCCTTTCGAAAAGGCGGTGTTCAAACAACATTTGGCTTCGTACAGTAGGCTGGGAAAGTTTTCTTTTTTAAATTTTCGGTCGGTTTTAGAACTGTAAAATTAGGTGCGTGCGTAATCCACTTACGTTCCCCGTACAAAAAGTGATTTTCTACTGCAAAAAACCGAGTGTTTTGTACCGTAGAAGTAACTCAAACCGTTTTATTGTCCTTCCTTTCAACAAAAAAAAATTGTTTATAGCTCTTCGACGAGTTCAACACCAACGCCAGGCAGCGCGGCCGCGTGCTACAGTTCCAGAGTCTTCAGTACGGCTACATGAGGGTCGAACCGAGATATGGTAAACCGCCTTTATATCATCAAAAATCCTATTTTCTAGGTGTCGACTACGTGCTGGACATGATCCTGTGGTTCAAGAAGTTCCGCCCGCCGCATCGGACAACGCTCAGTGTCCGCCGCCACGCCTACGTACAACAGACATTCGGCCCGCTGCAGGCCACCGAGGACGAGACGATTCGGTATAACATCTTTTGTTGAGTTTTTTATTCTTTTTTTTTAGCTCGAACCTGCGCACTTTCTCCAACATGACGCACGAGGAATCGACCCACCCGCAGCTTTACATGATCTTGCCGCTGCGCGGGCGTGCCGAAATCTTCCAACGATTCGCGGCGCATCTCCGGAACGTGTGCCAGCGCGAGAGCGGCGTCTCGCTCGTCCTCGTGCTCTACGACAACGAGGAGGTGGACATCAATCGGAAGACGGCCGCTGAACTTGCCGAGGCTGTCGACGTTAAGGTACTGATTCTATAACGGTTTTTTGTCGTTTGAACTAAAAAAATATGGAGTTCTAAGATCCGGATTCGTAAAATTGCCTCTTTCCCCAAACAAGGAGTTTTTCAAACCGGCTAAAGTTCAGATTTACAAGTTTGTTTTTGTGACGATTTCCAACCGAATAATATCATCCTGCAAACGCGTATTTACTCGACTTTTTCAGATCATCGACATGGGTGAAGCAAAATTCTCCCGCGGCCTCGCACTCTCCAAGGGCACCGAACATCTCCCGCCAACTGCGCTGCTCTTCTTCACCGACGTCGACATGCTGTTCACCTGCGACACCCTGCAACGCATCAAGCAGAACGTCATCCTCGGCGCCCAGGTAAACAAATCTTCTCAAAATTTACCCTCTTTTTAGGCCTATTTCCCGATCGTGTTCTCCGAGTTTTCGCCGGAATCGTGGTCAGAAAACGACAAGCTGCTTGCGGATGCCTTCCATTACGGCCGTCGACGCGGCTACTTCCGGCACTTTGGCTACGGCCTCGCCGCCCTCTACAAGGCCGATTTCGATCGCGCCGGCGGCTTCAACACGAAGATTGAGGGGTGCGTTTTTTGGTTGTGGGCATTTACAATTTTACGTGTTTAGCTGGGGCCTCGAAGACGTCGACTTCTTCGAGCGTTGCCTGAAGTTGCCGAATCTGCGGATAATGCGCGCGCCGGAGCCGGGATTGGTTGGTTTTTCAAGCGCTTATAAAGGTTTTTAAACGTTTCTATTAAATTTAGTTATTTTTGCTGGAAAAACTTTGAAGGGGTAGAAATCTACCTCATTCCGGATCAAGAATCGATTTTCGGCTTAAAATTATATTTTTCGTGAAATTTGGACTATTTATTCTCTAGAAAGGCCACTAATGATGTAAAACACATCGTCGATTTTTATAAAAAAAATCAAGGCTTGTACCGAATTTTGACACTTTTGCAATAAAATTGCATTTTTAAGTGAAACTTGGCGTTTTATTTTTTAGAAAGAGTGGTAGCTATGCAAAACAATATAAACAATATTTTCTAGAAAAATCAGGCTTGCGCCGAATTTTTTATGTTATTTTGACGTTTTCCAGGTGCACATCTACCACCCGATCGTGTGCGACCCGGCGTTGCCCGAGACGCAGAAGAACATGTGCACGGGCAGCAAGGCCGCCTCGCTGGCGTCGATCGACGCGCTCGTCGACCAGATCACGCAGTACGTCTGACGAGCCGCCGCTGCCCACCAACAACATTAGGAACCTATGCAATTTGTTGTCCCCACCGTGCCATTCATTCTTCGTGTTGTTTTCTGCCCCCAAAAATAGGATAGCGATTTGCAATGTTGTGAAATGTGTGAACGGGGATTGGAGACTAAGTGCGCGCTTTAATCTGAACGTTTAGAAACCGAAATTCAACTCCGTTTCCCCCGTTTTACCCTAGTACTGCCCCCGAAAAATGTGATTTCCCTACCCCCGTAATTGGCCGGTGCCTCCGTTGCTCATTCCTTGAATTCTCGAATTGTCTAACTTTTTTTTTTGCTTGTCTTTACACTGTGAATGCATTTAGTTCTCCCATTTTTATACGTATCCCTTGCCCAACGCTCCAAATTCGGGTCCCTGCCTCGCCGCGCTGCCGACTACACATTGTCGAATTTTACACATATTCGTTGCCCCCACCAACAACCCCCGCAATCTTTCTAGTCACAGTCCCGCGCTAAAGCCCCCCCACCCCATTTTTTCCAATTTACACGTTGTGTTCTGTGAGTACATTCCGCCTCTTCCTCCCCCCTTTTGTAGCCCTTCTTGCCCCCCAAACACACATCACGAATTGTATCTCTCCCACTAATAAGCGCTCTTTCATTTTTCGTGTGCTGTTTTGCCATGCTCCCCGCGTATAAAGAGTTTCTATGACTGAGAGAGTCTGTCGCGAAGAACACTGCTGATTGGCGTACAAAATGGGTATTTTCAAGGGTTCTGAGGGAGCGAGATTTGTTTTGCGAGTGCTTTTGGTGTTTTGAGGGCCCGGCGGTAATTGGCGGCTAGTCTGGCGTTTGAACGTTCAGGGGCGACGACAATTACTGTTTTCAGGCAGTTGAAAGGATGGGCTTTTCGAGAAGTGGCAAGTCTGGGCGACGACTTCTCGATTTCGGCTTGGATCAAGGACCAGTCGAGCCCGGGGGCAAAGCGGAAAGCCGATAGGCGATAGTAGGTACGCGGCTTTCCAGAATTTGGGGGTTGATTGCCTGTTTTAAAGTAGGGTTTATTAGCTTTATCTCTACTTTTTGCCCTTTTAAAACTTGCCTTTCGCCTTTTATTAGCGGACCTGATTTTAAAGATACACATAATTGGTGTATTTATTGAATCCTCATGTCTCGGATGCCTGATTCCATCCGTTCTTTGCCCCCCATCATGAAGTGCTGTTTCCCCTCATTTTCTCACAGCTCATGCGATATGTGGCGGCGGTGTGTCTTTTCTCGCGCAAAAGAAAACCCCCGATGCGGGGCGCGCGAGGCGCGATAACCGATAAGCCCCCGGCACGGCCCTGCTCGAACCGCAGATTTTTTCGCAAAGTTGGCGTACGCCATCTGACCTGATCGCTCACGTGGGCCAAGCGGAAAAGCGTGATTCTAAAGAGCTGCACGGCTTATGATGTCCCGCTGAGCGTTTTTTTAAGCTGCGCAAGTAAACGAAGCTGACCAACATGGATTCATCGAGCTCAAGCAGTACAAGTTAGCCGAATTTCTGATTTTTTGCGGTCTTTTCAAGCTTTGTAAGTAAACAAAATTTACGGAGCAAGCCTCAGCTAGTTCAAGCAGTACAATATGGTCGAATTTCTTCATTTTAGCTACGTCTTTTTTAAGCTTTTCAAGTAAACGAAACAGACGAGCATAGCGCCATAGAGTTCAAGCAGTATAGGTTCGCCGAATTTCTACTTTTTCGTTTTAGTTTTTTAGACGTTTTGGTTAATTTTTAGCAACTCTTAAGTTCGTAGAATGGTCCTCGTGCTCCTCCTAAACGTGCTCCGTGAAGTTCACAGTTTTTTAGAGTACATCGACTCTGATTTTTCGCTAATTTCTCTACGCACTTCTATCATTTCTGATTTTTATTGAAATTGTACGTTTATTAAACTCCAAAAGTCTCTTTCGCACTCCTTGAAAACGTGCTCCCTAGAGTCGATCATTTTTCACATAGACCCAGCTGATAAAGTCACCGGGTTCAGCGAGTTCAATCAGTACACAATCTAAATTATATCCTGAAATTGAGCTTCTCTTAACTTCTGATTTCTGGATTCTAGAATTTCTGTTGTTTTTTTCAGTTAACGAAGATCTTGTTTTCTTCATACTCCTTGAAGATGTGCTTCTACCTAATTAGAGGCGACCAAGCGGGCTCGTTGTACCTTTTTAGTAGATCTTTTGAGCTAGAAGTCCGTTCGTACGTCTCGAAAATGAGCTCCCGATAGTCGATCATTCCTCTATCTCCATCCACTACCGTACTTGTTGCCCATGTTATCACTCATCAAGTCGAACAGGTCCTCTCCCGCATTGATAAGTCAGCCACCGACGAGTCAACAACGAGTATAGCAGCATTAGGAGCAGGTTTTTCTCTGGAGGATTTAGCCCTGGTTGCCGGTGTCGCTGTAACTTGCACGCGAGATGATCGTCAGTGGGCCAGAAATCGTTTCTTGATATCTGTCGCAGGGTTAATTTTGGAATCTAAAAATATAACAAATTTTATCTTTTTGGTTGTTTATTGCTTGCAAAATTTGGTCGCGAGAAGAACCGAGCGTAGAGCATAATTTGCTGCAAATTGCGCGTTCACTTTCACCTTTACAGCTATAATGCGCTGTTATTTTTGCTATAGGGTGTCCGAAAATAAAGTGCCCTAGAGTCCAATTTCCGGTATCTAGCGAAAGTCTTCGACCAAGCGCAACCAGCTCCTTTTGTTTTCTATATTACGTAGTTTTTTTAAGAGTTTTTACGATCAAACCCCGCAAAATTGGCAAATGTATGCAAGGGCCTCCCGTGATCGCCCGTTTCCCGTCAAAAAGTACGATTTTTTAGAAAACGCTCAACATCTAACGATTGGTAAACATTTTTAGCAAGTATGATTTCGATGCACACATTTCTCTTTTACTTTTCTATTTGGATCTAGTCAAAAAAATTTCGAAAATATTATTATAGCGCTATCGCCATCTAAAAACTGTGTAAAATGCTATCGAAATTGGCTTGTATTTTTTGCAGAGGGGATTCATATCATGTGCAGAATTTTTCGCTGGTTACGCATCCGATTCCATAATTTGCAGAATTCCCTTATCCCAAAAGTTACAGCGCATTTTAAGGTGTTTTGGGGCAAAAAGGGTTGGGTATCCCCTTAACAGCACGGGTACCAGACCTTGAATTCGTTCAGTTCATAGCGATTTTCGAAATTTAGCGCAAAATTTTCGTATGGTGTCTCATCTGAAAGCGCGTTTCCTTCTGAGCAAGATGCGCTATAGAATTTTTGCCTATTTTCTCGCTTAAGATTTTCACAGGGGGGCTTAAGGCCGCAATTTTTGGTCGAAAAACACCCTAAAATGCGCTGTAACTTTTGAAATAAGGGCATTCTGTAAATTATGGAACCGGATTCGTAACCAGCGAAAAATTCTGCACAAGATAGGCTTGGTCTCATCTCGAATTTCCATCATCTTGAGCAAAAACACTACTGTAAGCACGAAGGGCCGATTTTTGTTTCCGCATCTCAGCTGTTTTGAGGGGATGCCCTTCGGTCTTTTCCGCTTCGATGACCCCCATAATTCATCGGTATCATGCCGATTGCTGCAGGGATATCGCTGCCGGCGTTGATTTGCGGATGTTGACGGAATAACACGGATTCACGTGTCCTTGTTGCGGTAGCCACGCGCATGAGACTGTTTTCGACAGCTTTTCTGTGTGTGTGTGTGTGTGTCGATTGCTCCCATCTATCTCTGGCCGACAAAAAAAAAAACGATGCTCGAGCGCTGGAGCTGAACCTACGGGGCGAACGGCTAGACTTGTTTTTGTTTAGGGGATTTTGAGGATGATGCTGGGAGATGATGGTATGGACTACGGTGGATTTTTTGTGGAGGGGTAAAGAGGATCGTAGCGTTGTGGGAAGTCGAAGTTGTTCAACTATTTTTACGACTACACGTTTCAAGGGCGTCAAGAGTATCGTGGCGTTGCGGGGGAGACGAAGTTGTTCAACTATTTTAATTCTGCGGTTTCAAGGGTGTAAAGAGGATCGTAGCGTTGCAAAAAGTAGTAGTTAGTGAACTTTTTTATGCCTGCGCTTTTCAAGGGTGTAAAGAGGATCGTAGCGTTACAAGAAGTTGAAGCTGTTTGGTTCAAGTTCAATCTGATTTTTGGTTCTTTGGCATTATCGGGGGAGGGGGATTTTTCCTTAATTTAGCTTTTCAAATATATAGTGGAAGTGTTTCTCGACGGGGTTTTTACTCTTTTTAAATGTGAAAACTTCACAACATTACTTGCAAACTAGAAAATTCGATTTTTCCAGCAAAAAGACCGATTTTTAACTAAAATTTCGACTTCTGCAAAGCTTTAAAAAGGTCTAGGATGGTGTTTCTAGTTAAAACACGTCCTATTAAGCGCCTAGACTTTTCTAGAATTATACAAAAACGTTCGCCCCCCGATAATGCGAAAGAACCGAAATTTTTACACTTACACGTTTTGAAGGGTGTAAAGAGGATTGTAGCATTATGGAAAGCGGAAGGTGTTAGTCGATTTTCCAAACTTGTGTTTTTCAAAAGTGTAAAGAGGAGCGTAGCACTATCCCAAGCTGATTGTGTTCAACTATTTTTGAAAAAGCATTATCCGGAAGGGCAGGCTAGCAGAGAGGCTTTCAGATCGTTCGAATTAGAATCAACGAATTAGGTTTATATAGCTGTATCGAGGCGGAGTTTCGGCTTTCCAGTACTTTCAGGATCCTATCCTATAAGCGAGAAAAGTATGTTTGTTTTCTGTAATGAAGATTTCTCGGTCGTCTGGCCGAATTTCCGGCTGATTTTTGGCATGGACGTGGAGAAACACATTTGTCAGCGATGCATTTTTTTGTTTTGCGGAATTTCTTCATTTAACGATTTTACAACAAAAATAGTGAAAAATCCTTAACATTTTGCCCAAAAAAAGGTATGTCCGGAGGTTTTCTCGGCCGCTAAGAGGAGTTGGGCTCTGATTTTTGGAGGGTGAGTG